TCCTGATGGTACACCTTGGCTGTGAGGAATGGATGGGAAACTCCATGTTTGATCTGGACTCTTGTATGTTGCTCATTTTTAGGTAAAACTAGTCTTTCTGAAATTTGACAGTCGGTGTGGGTTTGGTGGAATTTTGAGGGTAGAGAGCTTACTTTTCTGTGGTGTTTTTGTGTGGCATCTTACAGCCTGAGATCCCTTGGCCTGGGCTGTGGATTTGATTTGACTCAACTCAGTTGGGGCTCTTTCTCCGGAGGGGTCTGGAAGCGCTCAGCTGTTCAGGGAGTTGAAAGGTTCTCAGCTTTAGCCACCTCCTGCTCCTCCTGCTGACTGCCTGATTTGGGTCCTGGGGGAGGCAGAGCTCTCCTTGTTCAGATGCTGCTGTCTGGTTTCTCCGTGGCCGCCTGTTGGGCCTGCAACATCTCTTGCAGCTGAGCCCATGCAATGCCATTTGCTGCTGCTTTTAACTTTCTTCTGCATGGATATTGGTTCGGTGCTGTGCAGCAGTAGCTATTACAGCTGCCACAGCCTTTCAGTCTTTCCCGTGTGGTACTCTGCATAGCTCACCCATGTTTTCTTGTACCTAATTTCTTCTTTTGTCTGTATTTCTTGTCTTCGCTTGATTCCTGTGTTTCACTTAACCTGTTTCATTCTTGTGGAGGGGGAGACACTAAACGAGTCACTGCTGCGTGGGTCATTCTGGAGCAGCCTGCTCCCAGTGTACTCTGGGCCGGAGCCACGTGGGCTAACCGAGTGCTGCATGGAGCGCAGTTTCTTGTGCTACAGTGACACCAGGCAGATCCCCAGTTTGGCTCAGAACTAGGAGAGTTAGAAAGTGGGCAGGACAGAAATCATCTCAGGAGGGCCAGGCACGGGTTCCAGGCACAGGCTTTCTCCCTGCAGCGAGCTGGTAGCTGTGCGGACAGCAGGGCAGACAGATGAAGCTGGCCATGCCATGTGGGTGGGGTCCTGATGTTGATAACCCAGTCCTCCTCACGGCCATGCAGAGCCGCAGGCTGCATTATCTCTGTTCACGGGTGTGGAAAATCTGGCACAGATTTGGGAAGTTTTTTGTGGTCATGTAAAAGTTTAGATTCAAACCAAATCTATTAAGGCCATGCTCTTTGTATCAATTTTACGTGTGCCATGGCTGGTTGCTTTTTATTTAGTTTTTATTCCTTTCCAGTTTACTTTGTGGGTTTTTCTTTGCCCCACAATGATTTTTCTTGCATATAGCTTTATCATGTTTTCTTTTGTTCCAAAATTTTTGCTCTCCTGCACTTGTAAACCCAAACATAAGATTCATTATTATGAGATAAATGGCACCTAGGAAACGTACTGTTCTCACTTCCTGTCTTCTCAGGTTTTGGTCCTACTATGTTTCTTAAATTTTAAGTTACTGGGAGTTTTTCTGGTAGAATAACCTGTGTTCTCACTTGCCTTTCTGAGCTCCTCCTCATCCTTTGAGATTTAGTTCAGGGTGCTCTGTGGGAAGTGAGAAACAGCCAATGTCACAGGAAGAGATTAACTGTGTGACCCACTTGGTCACTAACTGTTTTACTTGCCGACTATCTTGAGTGTTGCTGGGACAAGTGTCATTTTAGCTAGTCAGTTCTTGTATTGAATACGTTTGATTAAATTGTGGTTTTTATATTGCCTTCTATTTTATCTTAGAACAATTATTGAAAAAATTTCACAATTTTTGGTCATTCTCTAATTAAACTAGTAAGTGGTTAATTTGTAATTTTTTTTTTTTTTTTTACAAATTTTAGGATCATTTTTGTCACTCAGGATATGTTTTCATTGTATAATGAGTTTGTTTTCTCTTGAGGACTTCAAACTATAGGAATTCAGTGCAGAAGTAGTAAAAATCTCAGTGCATCTCTTACAAGTTTTCTTAGGCTCCTACTTCATTTAATTCATTGTTTGATAAATATTTAATTCAGTTAAAAGTGAAGGTGGGGGCTTCAGGATTTTCAGATGGATGAAAATAAGAAAGCGTGCATGTGAGGAGTTGGACAGTTAATGCTACCTTAACTGTGTGTCTCAGTTCATGCCACCATAACAGATACACTATAAACTGTGGTTTTAAACAACAAAAAATTCTGGAAGCTAGGGAATTCAACTTAGGAGTTTGAAAGGAGACTTGAACATTCAGTCCATAAAACTATGAAAGAAAAGATGATCTTAGCTATTTTTAAATGATTTCATTTGTATTGTTAATTCTTTTCTTAGCCATTTTTGCTGCTAAAACAATATGTCAAGTTTTGTGTAATTTAATGAGCATTCATGTGGCTCATGATGTGGAGGCTGAGGCCAGGGTCCGAGCTGCATCTGGTGGAGAGACCTTCTGGTTGTTTCATGTCATGCTAGAAGGAGAGTGTAGAATAGGGAGAGGGAAGGAGGCTGAACTTACGTATTTGGGAGCTTGTCCCTCCTGCAATGATGGCATTGCTTCAGTCCTTAGAACAAGCCCCCTTACCTCTTGGGAGCTCTGTCCTCTTAGCATGACTGTTATGGTTGATAAATTGTATCAACTTGAGCAATTTTTGGTTGTTGGACTCCACAGGATGTGTGTTATGGCTTGGCAGAAAGTTTGTCTGTATTTTGCTCATGTCCAGAGACTGCCTGAGACTGAGATTAAAGGCAATGGACTGATTAATGTGCCAGAAACTTCAAGGCAGTCAAATGTTGAGGCAGTGGCATGGCTATTGTTGGATGCTTTTAGCCAGATTTATGTTGTGCATCAAGAGCAAAGAGCACAGGCAGATGATTGAAAACATTGTGAGTTTGGCAGAAAGGAAGTTCCAGTAAAGTGGTGGACTATAAAGATAGAGGTAAGATCTCCATGGCTCAGAAGGAACAGAGACATAAAAAAGATGGCTTGCAGGCATCATGGGAAGAGGCAGCTGGTTCCCAAGCTTTGCAGCCTTAAAACTGCAAAAGTGAAAGACATTTTGCTTGGAGGACAAAGTCTGAGAGCACCATGTTCCAGAATGAATGGCAGCGGCATAGAGAATTTGTTCCTCACAATGAGGTTCAGAATGCCCAGTGATCCAGCACTTGATCCATATACTCAAGAGAGGAAAGCCAGCAGACCTTGGCATCATCCATGTGGTGCTGGTTTTAGGCACATACAGAATGCAAGAGCTCTGAGATTAACTTCCAACTTGATTTCAGAAGGCCTCGGAGGCTAGACAGTGTGCTCCTGAGAGGGCAATGTATGAAACCAAAGGTGCAGTGGAGACCTCAGAAGTCTGGGAAAGCTGGGAATGTGGATCATTTAAGGAAACCTCCAAGGAGGGAGCACAGCCAGACCGAGAGAGAAGTCTTGGGGTCAGTAACCACCAAAAGAGCTATGGGAGTGGAGACACACAAGCCTTTTGGAGCTCACAATTTGCCATATATTGCTTCAAATGTACATATGGAACTACAGAAGTTTATGTTTGCCCTGCTGGATTTTGGACTTACTTTTGTCCCGATGCTTTGTACCCTCCTGTTTGTAACTTTTAGAATGGGAATAATTATCTTGTGCCTTTGCATGTTGGAAGTGTTTAACTTTGTTTTCATTTGTGCAGGGCCTTGCAGCTAAGAGTTTGCCTTCCATCTGGAGGAGACTTGGGACTTGAACTTTTCAGCAATGCTGAAACTGTTAGAACTTTGGCAACTCTTGCAGATAGACTAAATGCCTTTTGCATAAAGGGATGTGTATGAGTCTTTGGGGGTCCAAGGACAAGTGTTATGTTTCTAATATAATATAATATTGATAGATTTAATGCTGTTTCTTAAGAATTGTTATAATTCTTAAGCTGTGTTATAATGTACAAGTTGCAAAACATTAAGCTTGAGCATGCCTTTGTATCTGGAGGCTGATTTAAAGAAATAAGTCTGGTTGCCAAGTTGACAAGGGGTGGATTGTTATGGTTGATAAATTGTGTCAACTTGATAAATTGAGTCGCTGACAGACTTGAGCAGGGAGCCTGGGTTTTTACTTTGTAAATATCCTCATCCTGTGCAAAGGAGGGTAAGGAGATTTTGTGAATGCTACACCTGCCCTGAAGGTAGATGGTGATTTGTGTACAGTGTAAGCCAAGAGAAAAGGCTTGTTCACTCCCCCTTTGCTCTGGCTGCTGCTTTGTGAAGTGCTGCCCCAGTGCCGTGCCCCACTGCCTTGGAGCCAGTTGGTTATGGACTGAAACCACCAAAAACTGTAAGAAATAAACCTTTCTTTCCTTCATTTTGAGTGTTGTGTATTTTGTCCCAGCAATGAGAGGAAAGTAACCGAGACAACTGCAAACATGTGCCTTGTGGGAGATGGCTTTAGTCTAGTGCTGTTCTTAAAACTTGCATGATTCCTTGTTCTGTGATAGCTCACTTATGTTGTCAGAGTTCTTGATCTTATTTTACATTACTCATATTATTCCTTATTTGTTTCAATATAATAAAAAAGTTTTCCTTTAATTCTTTTACTCTTTTTGCATAGCACTGTCATGAAGGAAGTTTGTGATGGATCCCTTTAGTGTGGATCACCTATATGTGATATTCTGATTATAAAAATTATATGTTCTTGGATTAGTGAGTGAACTTTAGGAACACTTTGACATATCTGAATATAATTGTCCATATTACTGGATTCTGGGAAAACAATCCCCAGCTTTTATCAAACTCTAAAAATAGCCAATATCCTCCCAAAACAGCAAAGACAGTGGAGAACTACCATTTCCATGGGTTCAGGGGCTGTTGCAGACTGAGCCCTGCACTGCTTTTCAGGGCAGTGATGATGTTGGCTGGGGCTGTTTTGATCTTCTAAAGGGTCTGCTGCTCTTGTTCAGTTGGTTTTCTACTTTATAAATTTTGTCAGAAAATCATGTTACAGAATGAAACCACTATGTGCATAAATAAACTCATTAATCAGAAGTTTATGTGTTGTCATATTTTTGACATTTATCATTATGTGTAGGTACCCATATATATAAATAACTTGCCTACTTCATTTTTTTCAGAAATGAGAGATAAAATGAGAAAATGGAGAGAAGAAAACTCAAGAAATAGTGAACAAATTGTGGAAGTTGGAGAAGAATTAATTAATGAGTATGCTTCCAAGCTTGGAGATGATAGTAAGTTCCTGAGTTAATTTATTACATTCAGACATAACACTTCTCTCATTTTATGGTTCTTCATTGTTTTTCTTTTTAAACTTGTCTTCGTTTATGTTTTCTCTGCTGTTCATCTTCTGTTATTTTATCTAAGAAATTTAATGTTAGCATTATTTTGAGAATTTATAATTGCTGGTAGTGAATCTATCAAGAGGCATTTTTGTCTTAAAGCTCACAAGGCTGCGAAGTGTTTCATAAAGATGTTCTGATCTGGCCAAAATGTATTCATAAAGAGGTTTTAGAATGGTAAAAGCATTAATTGGAGGTTTTTACCTTATAAGACATTAAAACATTTTATATTGCTGAGAGCTGTAAGTGTGCTTTTTTCTTAATTCCAGAAATAATACACTAAATCAGTTTTCAGTTAAAAGTAATGTTCTCTTAAATACCAGAAAGGAGATGATGTATTGATTTCTGTTGGGGGGATTTTTTATGTTAAATTCAGTTCTTTCTCTTTCCATATCTAGTTTGGATCATATACGAGCAGGTGATGATTGCAGCTCTGGACTATGGTCGGGATGACTTGGCATTGGTAGATATTGCATTTTATATTTTATTTGCTTTATGGACTGTATATAAGTAGTTCAGAGCTGGTGTATGCCTGACGTTAAATGCTTTGTTTGACAAGTTCTGACAGCATTCTTAACAATAAGTGGAGAGTGCGGTATAATTTAGTGGCAGGACACTTAACTGACACACACAAGGCCCTAACTCAGTCCCCACCTTAGGAAAAAACCCTCAAAACACAAAACAAAACCTGAAAACCATCAGAAACAGTGAATGGGGCTAACCAGTGAGCTCAGGGCACAGTAAAAGCCTATAGCCATTTAAGGGTGTAATATAGTGACTAGTCTTCAGCTCTTGTGTTGCCTGTTATTTTTTTCAGTTTTGTCTTCAGGAGTTAAGAAGACAGTTCCCTGGCAGCCACAGAGTCAAGCGATTAACAGGCATGAGATTTGAAGCTATGGAAAGGTAACCAAGTCTTGGAAATAGTATGATTTTGTTTAAAAAGTGGCAGATTCAGAGCCTCTGTTTAGGTTTTCTGACACCAGGACACATGAGTAATTGTGCATGGTCTTTTGTTGCTGAGCTCTAAAATAGTGGTCAGTGCTTTTCAGCACAAATCTTGCCAGTTACTCCCAGAAAATAAAATTCAACATGAAGTGTGATCCATTTGCCATCTCTGGCCCAGGGAAATTAGATCATGCTTTGAAGTAAGAACTGGCTGCAAATCCTAGTTCTAGCATTTTCTAGCTTTCACTTATTTAACTTCTTTTAAGCCTTTTCAGCTTCAAAATAAGAATTTTGCCAACTTCTTAGTATTGTCTTAAGAAATACACACAAGTACACATTCAAAACAAACTAAATGGAAGGCGTCATCTTCATATAGCCTAGGAGTTTGAAGCCTTCTTCAGAAACTGAGCCCCATTTCCAAGGATTCATTTTACACAGAAAGAGAAGAGAGTGAAAAGATGGTCTGTTCTGTGTGGATTGTGAGGAGGACCCTATTTAGCCTGTTCCTGCCTCCTCTATTTCCAGAACACCTGTGTGGAATTCTAGGAGAAATAAGAGTTCACTGTGGCTAGACGCTGAAGCGTGGTTGGGTTTTAGCTGGAGCAGCAGCTGGAGATCAGGAGAGTATCAGATTGTGTAGGCCTATGTGTCCTGTTGAGGAATTTCAAAAAGGCACACAAAATTGATTTTAAGACCACAAGGAAAAGTAACAGATTTGTCCATGAAAACATTTTAACAAGAACATGTAGTGAGCAGTCTCAGAAGGCAGCCTTTGAGAATGTTGTGTTAGTGTTGTAAACTATGCAGACTATGGTGAAATAGGGTGGATTAAAGGAATGGAAAGAGGTACAAAAGGGGTTACCAGTTCCATTTACAGGCAGAGGGAAATAATCAAATACAACTTTTCATTTTCTGTGTTGAATATTAGTTGTCATCAGCCAAACAGGACCCAGACAGGTTGAGTAAAGCAGAGGACGGAGTGGAAAACCCCGCTGAGTTTGATGTACTCTGACGGATATCTAGCTGCCAGCCATAAGGAGGAAACGGAATATATAATCTAAGGGCCAAAGAAATGGGGGACAGTAGAGAATACAGACTTATGCTTGTGTTGGAAGGATAGGACGATCCCTGATGCTAGGTAGTGTGAATGCCCTCCAGTACAGCTTGTGCATCAGAAGGAGTGAATGTACTGTCCTGTTTGGCATTGCCAGTGATTGGAGACTTTCTTTATTCAGGGATACAGGAAGCAGTGATCTGCTGATTTCCATTTCCTTTCTGCCATTTTGTCCACTCGAGCCCTAACGTACATAGGTGTCCACCCTTCTACACTGTAGTGTGGGGTGTCTGCTGTGTGTATCTGGTTCTGTGCTGTTTTATCCCTTTGTATTTAGGCCCAGTTCAATGAGTATTTCTTGAAATAAGTTCTTCTTTAAGTACTCAATGTGATGTGTTTTCTTAAATAGTTTTGAGTATAGTAAACATTTACTGATAAATGGACAGACTTAGTAGCAATTTTGAATGCAATTGAAACCCTGTCAAGTTTAATCTTTTTCTGTTTTTACTGTTTATCACATTTTTAAGGTAATGAATTTCAGTTTCTTTTTCTTTTTAAATAGATATGATGATGCTATACAGCTGTACGATCGAATTTTGCAAGAAGATCCAACTAACACTGTAAGTTTTTAGATTGTGCTGGAAATGATCTAAATTTAATTTGAAAGGTCGAATTAATTCTCTGAGGAAATGATGGGAAGATACGTTTGGAACTAGGCTTCATGCTCTTACCGTAGGTAGCTCATCATGGGCTACATTTTGTTTTATATAAATGTAAGACTCCCCACTGAAGTTTTAACTTCTAGAAGCTGTCTTATTAGAAAAGAAGTTAGGTGAAATTAAAAAAGAATACACTAGGTGCTTGCATAAAACCCCAGCGTAGCTTTGTGTTTTCATAATGCTTTGAAGGTTAAAAAATACTAACTTTCCAGTTTGTGTGGTTACTCTTTTGCTGACTTAATGAAATAGAATTAAAATTAGAAAATTTTAAAATTTTCTAACCTTAACCATCTGGATAGCTTGCCATCTCTTAGTAAAATAAGATTCATAAAACATTTGTCTTTTCCTAAAGAACTTCTCAGGGTGCTTACCTCACCCTGTTTCACTTTCCACTTAGCCATATATTGAATAAAAAAAAAGTAAAATTAAGTTTCTGAAAGGAGTTTTTGAGTTTCATTTATTTCTCTCATATCAGGTTAATATTAATATTAATATTAATTACTAGTAATTTGAGTAATTTTCTTGGAATTGGGAGTCAAACATTTACTTATGTTTTAGAAGTTAGGGATATGTTTAGTGAAGTATTTTACTTCTTCAAGATATAAGATGATATGTAATTGAATATTGTTCCATCTTTGTGGTACTTTCCATAGTTTATGGATTTTCATGACTTTTAAGACTGGCTAAAGGAGAAGCTAGAATGATTTCTTTGATGGAGTGTATGTGAGGTGGTAGTAACTAAATCTCTTAATGTTTTAGGTAAGCATTTTTTAACAAGGCTAATAATTATATTACCCAAACATATTTTTCTTTTGTTAGATATTATGTGATCCTTGCTGAGTCTTTCCTTTCTTTCCTTAAACATTGATAATCTTTTTTGTGAGGTACCAAAATATTTACGTTCCTGGGTAAAGGTACAAGTTCTGTTCCTCATCCTTTGAGAGCACGTAGTTTGGATTGAAGGTGAAAACAAAGCTCCGTGAGAGAACCAACAAAGCGCAGTAGCTGCCAGGCCTTGTGAAGATGTGGCTGCTCTTGTCTGGTTGCCTGGAAGGAGTGTGGGCTTGTATTTGTCGTGTGCCTCTGTCTGCCCAGGTGTCGGTGTAGAAAGGGGGTTGTCATGCAGGCTCTGAGGGGACTCTGTCCTCCTCACATGAGATGTTGCCTTTCAGCTGCGTGTTGAGTGCATGGCTGCTCGCTGCGGAGGGCAAGGCCGGATCCTGTGCTGTCCGGCCTTTGCCTTTAGGGATGCAGTGATGTCACAGATGTGCTGTGGGTTTTTCAAAGACTTATTCAGTCCCGGTTTTTGGTAATTGCTGCAGGAGTTTTGAGCCTTGCAGGCCATGAAGAGTGAACATGGCTTAAAGGAAACAGATGGTGAGTTGGACTCCAGACTCCTTCAAGTGAAGGGCAGGCGTGGAGCCTTAGCTTAGGGCAGGAGGAGGGAGGGGTTAAAGAGTTCCCAGAAGAGACAATAAGGTGGGACACCACTTCCCGTCTGTTTCTTAAATGTTACAGGAGAGGCTGGGGATGTAGCTCAGTGGCATGAGTGCCTTGCCTGGCAAGTGCAAGATCGTGAGTTCATTTCCCAGTACTCCTCCCCCCGCAAAGGCTATAGAGATACTCTTTTGAAAAGTAATGCATAATTATGTTAAAGATTACAGATAATATAAAGTCATTTGTGGTGTAAAAAAGTCTTATTACTCCTTAGCTCAGATTCTCTTTACATTGGTCAAGTTTTATTAAATTTTTTTTATATCTTTCAGAGATTTTTTTTCACATACACACAGCTGTGTGTGTTTGTGTCTGACACCTTCTACAGAAAGTGTGTTGTTTAAACTTAGGTATTGACTAGACTGCTCTGGCCTTTGTCACATCACAGTGTGTGAAGACAAGTAACTTATCGTATCTTTTCACATCTCCTGAGCAGCATTTTTTATACAATGTTTTGCTGAGGAAGCTGTGATAGAAAGACATTGGCCTTTGTAAGGAACCTTTCTTGTATGTTCTGGATAAGGTCCAAAAACCGAGAGACACCTTGTGAACCATTTTCTGGTTGCTTGGTAATTATTAGGAGCCCAGGGTTCTGTGTGGCCTTTGGGAGATGTGCTTCAGAACTGTGGGTTACACATGTGTGAGTAAGAAACTGGCAGAAAAGAGACTTACTGTGTCCAGGAGTCCGGACTTGCCGCTCAAGCTGAGGCCTTGGCCATCTGCAGGGTGAGAGGTGGACTTGTCCCTGTGCTCGCTCCACATCCCTCCTTCCTGCTCGTGTAGTTAGCTGGAGTGGACCCACGACTGGACCTCTAGCGCTGCCACGTGCTCACACACACACACACACACACACACACACACACGACTTAAGATGTTAAAAGGCTTTTCTTTCACAGTAATTTTGTATTGACTACTTTCTGAGGTTTTGTATTTTATAGTGGAAATTTTAATCCATACATTATAGCAGTTATGCAGAAGGCTTAAAACCCTTGTAAAATGTAGAACAGTTTTTATTTTTAAGATTTAATTTTTGAAAACATCCAAACAAAAAAATTTACACAAATTCAAAATATCCTTATAGATTACAAGAAAAAGATACAATAAAGAAATGCAGAGTGGAAGTTGGTAGGTATTTCAGACTTGAATCGGGTTTCCTACAGTGACACTGCCTGCCCGAGTGCTTCTTCCTGCCATTCCCTGGCACTGTCTGTTCCCTCGACCGTCTCTGATGGTGTAGAGCCTCCACAGTGCTCTGTTCTTTCATCGCCAGTGCTGACTGTGTGCTCAGAGTTTCTGCCTGGGCCTGGGAATTCATCAGGCTTTCTTCCCTCTTCTTGCAGGGCTGATAGTCCCAGGGTAGTGAGTCCCAGCAGTACAAATGGGGCTTACCTAGTCATCTCCACCACTCAGTGACCGCTGGCCTCATGCTCTGATGTTCTGCAATTCAAATAATTTATCTAGTTGTCCTTTGTTGTTTCAGGCAGGAGGGTAAATCACGTAGCCTATAACTCTATTTTTCTTTTTTTCTCATTGAACTTTGTCTTACTGGGTCTCAGAATTCTGTGACAGATTCTGGTCAAGTTGTTTCCTTTAAAAAGTATTGATTTTGAAACCTAATGACTACATACACACAGTTTATAAAGCATTCTCCTTTCTTCCTTTATGACGCATTGTTATTACTAACCAGTCTGTCTCTATTAAACTTAAATGACCAATTGGCAGAAACCCTTCTGAGACTGACTCTTGTCTCTGAGTCAGGCAGGGGTGGCAGGTGTTAGAGATAATAGTCCTTTAGCCTTCTGAGCTTCTGGGCAGACCTGACTGGCTCCAGCAGTCTCATTGTCCACTGCTTTGATGACACCACAGCAGCTATTCTGTCTCATATTGAGAACAGCACAACACTCAGAGAGGATGCTTTCCCAGAACCCTGTCAGTGAGGACAGCATCGCCAGCTTTCAAGAATTTGGGGCCCTCTTCTAGTTTCTGATCAGACTGGTGATCAGTCTTTCCTTTCGGCTCAGGAAGCTTGCAGCACTGTGAACTGTGTGACTGTAAGTATACAGCACAGCCAAGCCAGATCTGGCCAGAATGGTTCAGGATAATCCCTGTAGTGGTGAGACCAGCTGCTTCCATTGCTAGGTCATTTTTGCTCTCCCCAGCAGTGTTGCCATGACAAACATCTTTGACAGACACCGTCTTGTTGCTGAAGACCTTCACTCAAAGCTTTGCGTTACCTTTCAGCAGACTTCACTTCAGTCATGAACTGACTGGAACAAGGTGACCACCGTGCTGGAATTGAAAACACAATGCCCACTTGGCCTTCAGAGTCGGCCTCAGTACCACCAATTGCTTAGATGTCCTAGAGGGGCAGCTGCAGAGGCTTGTCAGTTGGGCAAGTGGGCAGAAGGGTGCAATCCAAAGCTTTTGGCAGAGTGGTCCCACTTATCACAAACTTGGCCTGGCCCCAGTCTCCTGAAACGAGTTAAGGTGGAGACTTAAAAGCAGACAAGTGACATGGTTTTGGGGAGTCCAGGAAGGTCATAACTGACAATAGAGACAAGGACTCTTCTAGATCACTGTATTTATTGGGTTTTTACAAATTTGGGGGATGCAGAAAGAGGAGGGCACATTGGGGAGGCAAAAATTTTTGAAAATGACCAGGGCCCTGAGAAAGGCAGTGCGTTTTGCCAATTAAGAGGACTGTTTGCTCTCTAAGGTTGGCAGGAGTCTGTGTTCTCAGGCACCCTCAGCTGTGATGTCATCTTGATTTCAGAGCACTAGAAATAGGAGCTTTTCCAACATGGCCAGAGCTCCCTTCTTGGTCAGCAGTTTAACCCTTCTGTGTCCTGGTCTCTACATCCACTGGCATTGCTGTCTTCATGAGTGACATTTCCATCCCTTGAACCAAAGTATATTATTTGTGCCCCTGGCTCGAGTGTTGTCACTGTTCCAACCAGAAATTTAGAAGCTGTTGTGGCAGGGTGTAGCGGATTTTCTTATTGTACCTGCTGACTTCCATAGCCACTTCTTCCTTTCTCTTCTGGCTAGAAGATGGCTCGGTGGAGTCCATTCTGTTATCACCAGTGGGTTGTTTTGCAGCCAGCGTGTGAGCCAGAAGGGCTTGCTCCTGGTGCTGCCCATTCTTGGATATACCAGCCTCAACTTCAACACCAGTAGCAGCAGCAGCAATCAGGACAGCACAGTTGGCCTGAGATGCACCTGTAACCATGTTTGTGCTAAGATTTCTGTCGTTGGCATCAGTGGAGGTCACATAACAGCTGCTGTTCTTAGATTTCCACAGCGAGGTATCAGTGGTGATGCCTTGAGCGTGCTCAGCTTTCAGTTTATCCAGGACCAAAGTGCACTTGAAGGAACACTGCCCCATCTCTGCAGTCTCCTTTTCAGCTTTTCTAGTGGTTCTTTTGTCCTTGCCACCACATTTATGGGTCAAATGGCTGATAGTGGTGAACCTGCCCAGTTCCATGTCCAGCGACGACAGTACTGATGTGAGTCCTCTCTTTCCCATGTTGGCTTCATTTAGTGGTGGTTCAGAGCTGTGCTGTCACAGCAGCCCAATTGTAACAAAGCCCTGTCACTCCGTTTTGGCCAGATAGGAAGTCCTTGTGTAATGCTGATTTCAAACAATCGTGAGGCTCAGTGTGGTGGTGCACACCTGTGATCACAGCACTCTGGGAGGAGGCTGAACTGGAGGAGCACAAGTTTAGCTGATCAGTGAGGCCCTTTCTCAAAACAAAAAGATAAAAATAAAAAAGGCTGAAGATGTAGCTCAATGTGAAGGTTCTGAGCTCACTTCTTAATTGCCACCAAATCAGCCAGTGCAACCTGATAAAGGTTTTTTCTTACACCAGAACGTGCTTTTCTTTTTTAAAGGAATTATCTGAGAAGCGTTGTCATTTAGTAAAAGAGTTTATGGCTTAGCAAAATATGTCTTTGCCTATATGACAGTGATTACCAAGTAAATTTTTGTTAGAGGACCCATATGTGTTCTCGCCAGGATGACTGTGTAGCTAAATAGTTCCTGTAAAAAATTAACTTTAGAGTATTAGGTGATAAAATACTGTATCAGAGGTCTTATATGACTAAGCAATGTGATGCTTATAAGATGGAATTGTGAGGGCTTATAATGTATTTTTCTTTTATTTTCAAGAAGGCTTGAGAAAAAGAGTTCCTTTTTGGTTTTTTTTTTGGCACTGGGGATTGATCTCAAAGCCTTCCCACTGAGCTACAGCCCCAGCTCTTATCTGTCTTTTGTTTTGTGACGTATCACCAAGTTGCCCAGTCTGGGCTTAAACTTGTGATTCTCTTGCCTTAGCCTTCCAGAGTGCTGTGATCACAGGAGTGGGCTGCCTCTCCCAGCTGTGGTTCTCATTTTAAGTCATATTCTCCCTGATGGGGTTAAGATTTCAGGGTTTTGACTTATGGATTCTCGAAACTTTCTGAACTTTACATTTATTGTGGCAGTTTCATTGTTTTATATGTTAAATTATCCCAAAAATATTTGCACGAGCCTGCGTGGCAGGCATTGTGCTAGGCCTCTGGCCTGAGCCTTAGAATCAAGACGTGTGCATTAAGTAAGACGCATTGTTTTTTATTATCAAAATACCACCAGCCTTATGAATGCTGTTCTTAGCCTTGTTAGTCTCCTGATTTCAGAGCTGAACCTCTGCGCCACCATCCAGAGATGTGTGGTTCCTGTTCCTCCAAAGAGAGCTTGGCCTTTGCGTCTCCTCTGGGCATGACAATAAGCAATAGAAAGTGTTACAGGTCCACCTTCACGTGACTCCGACTGTGGTGTCTGTCCAGTGTCTGAGTCAGGCAGGCCAAGGGGACACGTGTTCTTGGGGTACGATGCCAGCCTGGCTCCTGCTCTGCGTCCTTGATGTCCTGTTCTTCACAATATTTCTGTGTCTGCGTGGCCGTGGCATCATGGAGCCTCTGCTCCATGTCTGCCCTCTGTTTGATCTCTGCTACAGCCGTTAGCTGGTTCTGCCTGGTGGTCATCCTGGACAGCTCCACTGCTCGCAGTGCCCCAAGTGCTCTACTTAACATGTCCCTTGAGACTGCACTCCTGTGTACGAGAAATCGTCGGCATCTTTTATCATATTTTCATTGTTCACACAGTGACTGACAAATGGGAGATGTCCAGGTTGTATTCAAGTATAAAGGAATGGTGCGGATTTTTATGTTAACCATTTTTTAGACTTTAAAATGCAAATTTTAAGAATTTGTTATAAATTTTTTTTCAAGACCTGTTTTATTCTTTTGAAAAATATAGGTAGGTTGTACTCTTAAAATCATGAAAAAGTTTCCAGGCACTGTCTTTGTGTGATTATATCCAGTGGCCTTAGTGAGGTTCTTTCTTTTTTCTAAGCTTCAGTGTTTTTCTGGCTCTCAAGATACAGATCTTGTGAATCAGGCAGCAGAAAGGACTTTAGGTGGATAAAGATTAGGGTTTCCTGCTGGCCTTGTAATCATCAGAATCTGGGTGCTGACTTGTTTGGATGAAATGATGCATGTATTATGTGCATCAAAAGTGAAGCATATGTGATGGTTGGGAGTGTTGAATTCCCCAGTGGGATGTCGTGGAGTGTGTTTATAAACTCTCACTAAGCAGCCATTCCACAATGGGATTTCACTGGCATTGAGATAATAATTTGCACAGTCAGATTACCTCCCTTACAAAAACCCAGGGAGGGAATCCTGTGAGCTAATCCTTTATTAATGTCAACCCCTAGGCTGCAAGAAAGCGTAAGATTGCCATTCGTAAAGCCCAGGGGAAGAATGTGGAGGCCATTCGGGAGCTGAACGAGTATCTGGAGCAGTGAGTGTTTACAAGGAGATTGTGTTTTGTTATTCTAATAAATCTTTTTAATTAAAATGGAATTTACATTTGATTTTCCTGTGTGTCTCCATGCTGTTCACTTATGGAATCCCACACATTTACTTTGTTCTCCTTCCTCCTGCCAGGTTTGTTGGTGACCAAGAAGCCTGGCATGAACTTGCAGAACTTTATATCAATGAGCACGAGTAAGTTGTTAGACACACAGGAAACTGCAGAGTGCAGTTTCTTCAGTAGAAAATGAGAAGACAGGGTAGTTTCCAAAGTATCAAGAAGATGTGAGTCACCTGTCATTTTACATGAGAAAGGAAATAGAAAGTGAAAAAACTAGGTCGTTAGGGTTTTGCTAAATTATTTTCCTTTGGGGAAGAAAGTTTTCTTTCAAATACAGATGGCATTCTTTGAAGGGCCAGTATTTGTTAAGCTAAGGTTGTTTTTGATGATTCAAAATAGTGAGTTTTTAGAGTTGAGATTGTTCTTACACACAAAGAGTATTGTACTCCCTGCTGTTTAAAATTCTGTCAATTATTAGCCCTAGTACTAAGAGAATCAGCCTTTCCAGAGTAAAAGCATTCTGTTGCCTGGGTTAAAAACCAAGAATAATCAAGAATGTTGAATGCTGTAGGAACTTGCTTATTGGATATTAAATGGTTTTGTTGGCTTTTTATTGCTGTAGTGACAGGAGGAAATCCCAGTGTGAGAGGATTAGTGCAGGGTCTTAGTGCCAGTTTTCTAATATCATAGTATTAGCACTAGCCTCCACCCAGGGGCATACTGTTTGCTTTTCTCTCTTAGTTCTTCTAAACCTGAAGTCTATCACATTGTTTCCTTCCCTCTTTGTGAAAGAGTAGAATCAGATTCTCATGTGCGTTTTCTTTTTGTGCATGAATAAACAGTTAATCTTGTTTTCATGCTATAAACAGCTGCCACAGGAAACAGGATAAAGACATTTTTATGTTGCCCTTGACCAAGTCTGTATATGTGTAATATGAAATAAACATTGAGGTAGTTATTTCATAATTTTTTTTTCTTAGAATTTTTTTTTTTTTGTACTGGGGATCGAACTCATGGCCGCGCACTTGCAAGGCAGGCTCTTATGCCGCTAAGCTAAATCCCCAGCCATATTTCATAATTTTAATAGAAGTTAAAGTAAAATAGAAGTGCTCACTGTCATATCATGAAATGTGTGCTATATTCCAGGAACCATTCCTCAGTTCTTTGCCATACCTGGGCTGTCAGGGTGTCTGGTCTAGAAGCTGCATGTTGCGTTTCGTGTGGATGTGAGCCTGCTTATATGTACACAGTGTACACATGCTCATTATTCTCTTATGCATGTGAGACAGTGTATAGTAATTATATTTAAAGAATGTGAAACAATTTTCAGCGTGCGATAAAAAATCAGAATTACTTTTATGTTGTTCCTTAAAGTGGCAGTTATTTAAAATTTGTTTTTGAAGATTTTATAACCAAGACCATTTTAAAACATTTTAAATAATCAAGGATATCTACGTTAAAAAAATACCTAAAGTTGAAAATTTGAAAAATCCAGTAGAATATAAAGAGTGAGTCAAAAGTAACTCGTAATTCCCTCACCCTCAGTTAACTGGAGTCCCCCCTGCCCGTTTTATCTTGCTTTATGCTCTGCCAGAACCACTCAGTTCTCAACCCATTCAATTCTCTTAGAATGTGTATTCTTGACCTGCATGTAAAATTTTGGCATCATTTTAGTTAACACATTTATAAGACACTAATGTGAAGTTGGGTATTTGTGGTGGAGACAACTTTCCTTTTTCTTTGAAGTGCTAGGTTTCCAATAGTTGACATTTCCTCCATCCTGGATTCATCACTTCCTAAGTGCTGTCCAGTTTGCAGTACTTGTGCTGAGCTGTGCAGGACACGGAGCCCATGGTCTTGGTGCCCATGTAAGGGCCTGTGTGGATGTGCCACTGTGGTGGGGGCGGGATGCGGGCTCCTTGGGCCTAGACCCCTTCGGGTGTTGTGACTGCTGCACTGTTTTCTCTGTTGCTGTTGCCAACATCCCCATGGATGTTCACTGTGAGCGGCTGGGTCCTGCAGCCTGTGTAGCACCTGAAGGGTGTGGATTCTGGTCGGCCCAGCCTGAGGTTTGGTTCCAGTTCTGTCTTAGGATTCTTTGTGTAGAATAATGGTGAAATTTCTAGTCTTTAGAGTTTTGGGGGATAGAATGAGTTAACACACCACATACAAGCAAGGAACATGCAGCATATAAAATAAGATCTAAAATTTCATAAAGGTTAACTGTTACTAATCACTGCACATGGTGAGACTGGGGTGAGTACCTGGGACACTGGTGTGAAGTAGGGGCCTTTCCGTCTGGGCGACAGATGCAGAAAATAAGTCTCGGTGACTTTCATGCTCACATCTTGGAGCCCTCACACTGGTGTCTGTGGGCTGTCTTGAGCGCTGCAGGGGTGGGCCCGCACCTGGGGATGCTTTCGGGGTGAGTGCAGTCCAGCTGTCTCCAGAGCACTTTCTGTCAGCTCTGTCCTGGTTCGGTGGGGTGGTTCGGCAGCAGTGGAGGGCAAATGAGAAAAGCTGCAGTGATTACTCTGTCATTTTCACTACCCGCTATTTGACAGAAGAATAACAAAAAGTCTTTATAATAGGATATTTTAGTAGATGTCCAGGAAGGGTCTTAGCAGTTAGAGAATAGTTGATAAAATGTTTCCTCCTCCTTGATGTTATTTTATTAAACAGAGGACTGACAGAAACTTCTATGTAAAGTTTTAAAGCATATCTATTGATTGATCTCTCATAGACTGCTGTAAGGTAACTGTTTATTCATTCCACTAAACATCTTGATGTTACTGGTGTTTATGGAGTCGAGATAATATCATTATAGTAAGCTATTTAAATTGTTTTGGGAATAAAATATCTAGCATCACTAAATTTCTAGTTGCTTAAGACATAGCTGAGATAAAATTTATGGCTTTTAAAAGGGCTGCTCTGGCTTTTTTAGCTATGCAAAAGCAGCCTTCTGTCTGGAGGAGCTCATGATGACCAATCCCCACAACCACCTGTACTGCCAGCAGTATGCAGAGGTGAGTGTGTGTTCATATGCAGTGCACGTGTGGGATTTGAGTTTGACTGCTGTTGGGTATTATTATGGCAGTAAGAGTATTTTCCTCTTGTTACACATGTAAATAAGTATTTAAAATATGTGATTAATGTTGACTTGTGGGAATAAATGTTTGAAATTTTAAATATTGCAATGAAAGTACTGATTTTTCAATTTAAAATCCTATTTAAACAGAAATGCTTTGTATTTTTAAACAGTACTGGAATGTTCCTTTCTTTCCTAACTGTAAGTTAATTATACCACAGTTTTTACCAGTTGCTTCTGAGACACAGTGATTTTGATTTTTAAATCCAGATTTTAGGAAATCTATTTTAAGTTGTTATTTTAGTATGTAAGAGTATGTATTTAATTTTCTTACTATTAAGAATATCAGTACAATTTAAAGCTATAAAACAAGAAGTACCTAATTATTAAAGAGTGTAAAGGGACAGTTATTGCTATCATTTTTAAAATACAGCTGTAAAAGGACAATTCAGAGAAGTCTAGATTTATAAAACTAGTAATAGAAAATATAACTGTCTAAAGCATTTACAAGGCAGTTTTATCAGAAATTGTACTGACCTTTTTATTATAGAAGTATTTTTGTTTGAAAAACTACTCCATGATTTTAATGGTCATCGAGTAGAATAGCTTTGTGTGAGGTTATATTTTAATTTTAACAACCTTCAGGTGGTCATAACAACCTTTAGGTGAATTCTTTTAGCATCTTTCTTGCATTTATAGAATATCTGTTCCATTACTTAATGCCTGTGATACGATGAGACATGCTTTATTTCAGAGTAGTTAAAATAAACACATTTCAGTACTCTGCAACTTCTAACAGGTTAAATATACCCAAGGCGGACTTGAAAACCTCGAACTTTCAAGAAAATATTTTGCACAGGCATTGAAACTGAACAACAGAAACATGAGAGCTTTGTTTGGGCTTTACATGGTGAGTCAAGGTGCATGCTTAATGTTATCTTACATCTGTCTCATTCACAATCCAGATAGCTGTCCTTCCTAGTTTTTTTCTTCCTTCCTTGTTTTTTAAATTTACTGATGAGCATATGATTTTAATTAAGAGCAGTAGTCAACAGAGCAGTTTTATTTTTGAATGTTGTTGAACATTCAATTGTGAGGTTTCTTTTTATCATTATTAGAGTTGAAATCTCCACATATGAAATTGAATAGTAATAAATAAGAGTGTATTCTATGTTATTTAAATTGTTACATTGTTCTTGGTTCTATGCCCAACTTTATTTTTTACCTGGTAGTTATACTTGTATGAGATATTTTTAAACTATTATCAATAAATGACATTAGAAAATAAAATCCCTAGTATGTCTGATTACAGCATTTCTTCTGGTACAGAAAAAGTGTGAAAATAGCGTGTTAGAAGTGTGCAGTGTCTCTGTGTCGAGTGGAATAGAGTAGCAGCGGAGGGCGTTGAGGGATGGAAGGGCTGCCTGAGCGCATGGCCAGTGGGCCCTGCATTGGGAAGGGCTGCGTTCTTTGGAACATTGATTTACTGTGGTCTTTCCACGGATTTTTTTTTAAAACAAGTATCCTCTTGTTGGAATGCAGTGAAAAAAGAAGTGAAAAGGAGACTGAGAACAAAGATGAATGATGTAATTTTTAGAAAAGGTTTGCAAAATATGGTTAAACAATGGTTGAAAGGAATTAAAGAACATTTATCTGGATTTTTATTTTTTACTATTTTTTGAGGCAGGATCTTGCTGTGCAGTTCAGGCTGACCTTGATTTCATTATGTAATCCTGGCTGGCCTGAAACTCTAGGTGATCCTCTTGCTTCAGCCTACTCAATGCTGGGATTACAGGTGTGTACAACCACGCCCAGTATTTGTCTGGATTATACTGAAACCAATTGCAGTGGAGATACAGTGTAGTTAGCAATAACTATACCAAACACAGTGTCCTACTGAAATTTATGATGATAAATTATTATTAATAAGCATTTTACATAGCAGTTTCTGTCCCAGGTGCTTTGCTGAACTCTGCTTTGTTTGTTGTTTACTTGTTTGTGTGAAGCCGCCCAGTCCTCGTGTCCTCTGAGTAGGTGCTCTGACTGCTGCCATTCCTGAGATGGCAGAACTAACACAACAGCTGTGATTGTGTACTCTGAGCTCAGGGCTCCCACTTGATGCAGCTGGGATTCCAGTTCAGGTTTCTACACTGGTGTCTTTCCTTTCATCACTGCATTTACTGAAACTCATATCAAAAGGCCATGTTAAAGGCACAGGTATAAAATGTTGATGGTGACAGATGGATACCTCCCTGGCAGAGAAGAGAAAGGTCAGAGGGCCTAAGGCACAGACTAGGCATAACAAAAAGTTTAACTCTTTTGGGAACAGATTCTTGTAAGAATAAGACTACAGTTATACTTTAATTTTGTTAGAAATATAAGCATGTAGTTAAAAATTACCTTATGATTTTGAGGGTTTATAGATCTCATGGATTCCAGGTTAAGAATTCCTCACTTAAATACTTTTTTTAAAAGGCAAAAGTACATTATGTGATGACTGATGAGTGCTGTAGAACACAGTGAAAAGAGAAATAAATCAGATAAGAATAAAGGAGTTGATTGCAAAGATTTCCACTAACTTGCTTTGGTAAAGTCAAACCACTCATATTGGAATGAATTTCTTTTCACTTGTTATTTTAAGAATTCAGACAGAATTATTTTTAAGATTCCTTCTAGTAATATTCAGTAAGTCTGACTTTGGAAAGCTAATACAACAATAACAAGAAATAACAGTAGGAACACCATGATGTTGCAGTGCTTTTGGGTTGTACAGTGTATTTCCATGACTACTTTGTTGAAGAGATAAGAATTTTACTTTTAAGAGATAGGGTAGACACCTCATTAAAGAATTTTAAATATCACTTTAAATACTTTTCTGGTCTTACTACTTTGTATTGTACTACATTTTTAATATGTTTTTATTTTTAAACACTAATTTCATTTAACTTTAAAAATTGTTTTCATAGAGTTTTATCAGTTTATTGCATCTGTGACCCCCCCCCATGTGTTTGACCACAAAAAAATGGTTTTTTTCTTTCTGTTTTTAGTCTGCAAGTCATATTGCATCTAACCCAAAAGCAAGTGCAAAAATGAAGAAGGACAACATGAAGTATGCAAGTTGGGCAGCTAATCAGATCAACAGAGCTTACCAGGTCAGTTTGGGTAAATTCATTACTGTATGCGTTAGCCAGCTGCAGAGCAGTTGTCTGTTGTCTGTGCCTTTGGACCTTGAACAAGCAGGTGTGTCAGTTGCATAAAACTAATTTGTACTTTTAGGATTTTTTTGTACCAGGGATCAAACTGACTCCCTTGTGTTTGCCAGGCAGATGCTTATGGCACTAAGCTAAATAGACTTTTTAATTATGATCTAATGGTATAGGGGGAAAACTCCCAACCTGTTAGATGTTTAGTTTGAGTTCCTGTTCTCTAAAACCAAATGAATTCTAGGAACAATGGAGGTAAGAGCAGAATATATTTATTGGGGAGGAAAGCTTCTGTCTGAGAGAGAGAGAGAGAGAAACAGTCTTGAGTGGGTTGCCAAGGACCCTACTACTTTTAGGGATTTTTTTGTAGAGTAAAACTGTGAGGTAAAGCAAGTCCAGGGTGGGGAAAGTGGGAAATCACAAGGTGGGCTTGAAGAGGCACAAAACTGTGGTCAGCCGATAAGATGAGGAGCATAACTGCTCAGGTAATATTAATTAAGTGGGGATCAAGTGGGGAAGAAGTCACAAAGCCAGTGGGCATGGAACACACAGGCTCTTCCTGGCTTTCCCAGGGCAATCCATACAGTCTCTGTTGCTTATCCCGAGGGTTAAGTGTGTGCATGCCTTTGTTTCATCTTTTGTCCTGAGCTTTGGCCCTCACAGTTGCCGTCTGTGCTGGCTCCTTGGAGGACCCAGCCCTGTCTGACTGCCTACATTTCTGCCTAACTTAGCTGTCTGTAACATTGTCATCAAGAGAGTCTCAGTGGTTCTAAATTTGACATATACAAATTCTAAGAATCCACAAAACGTAGACTGCATGCTGCCTTTCAAAAGCAGGGCTTGCAGGAGTGCTTTGTCAGCGAGTGGTATCTTGAGAGTGAAGAGGAAGTGGGGGAGATGCAGGGGAAGCTCGCAGCCCAGTCAGAGCCCAGTCAGAGCTCACAGGCAGTCTGCTCTAGCGGTAGCTTTTACACTGCAACTTATCCAGTCCTTTCTGAGTGTCTGATGCTTTTGTCTAGATTTTTCAGGCAGTATTTTTTCATGGGAAATTTGCTCATGGGAGAAATATCTTAAATCTTTTTTTAAAAAAATTTTATTTAAAGAGAAAAAAAAAACAGAAAAAGGGTACAAGTAATACAGAATTTCAAAAAAAAATAGTAAGAAATCACTAGTTAATAGATTACATATTGTCATCTTAGAAATAGTTCAAGTTATAAAATTAAAGCATACAAAGTGGACATTCAAACAGTGAGACTGCAAACAGTTCTGTTTAATGATCCAACAAAAACTCAGTAATATGGTTATCTAAATATACTTAAATATACATGCAGTTATATCCTTTAGAGTACTTTCTTTTCCTCTCTTAAAAAATATTAAATCTTGCAAGTTTATATATTTAAAGGACAGTTTGGTTCTGTGTCTGTTCTGTGATTTGTAGTTACGTTTGTCTTTAATATCATTCCATTGTTTTTTATGATACAGTATTGTTATCAAGAAGCCTAATGCCACCCTACCCCTTAGACTTCAGTTACTCAAAGAAACTTCATTTTAAAGTCCAGTAGTCTTATGATATGTTTTTGTTAGATTTGTTTTCCAAAGCATGTAATACAGTATTCTCTGTTTTCCATGTTTAAATGAGGCAGTTTTCCTAGACTATTGGAAAGAAGGGGTCATACAATGAGGGGAACTGGAGATAAGACAGGGACCCTTACCTAGGCCTGACGACTCAGGATAATGCAGTTTTGATCTTTCTGTGTATGAGGTCTTTGTCAAAGTATAAATGAGATTTTCTGGTTCCATTCTACCCTCTAGAACTCGGAAGATGAGGAATTGCAAAAGTGTGCTAGTTTGAAATTACGTATTATCATAGGAGTTGTTTTGATTTTCTGTGGATGTTTCTAGGTATTGTTCTCCCTACATTAACCACCTCTCCCTCTCGTCCTAGTCTTTTTTCCGTATTTAGTTTGGTTTCATTTTCCAGGCCTTTTTCCCTTGCATGGCATGAGACTTTGTGCTTCGGGAAGAGAGTATTGAAGAAATTGGAGGCCCTTGATGGTTAGATTTGTTCAGTCTTACAAATTTGTGTGGTTTAATACTTGTCTTTGCCAACCTGTAAAAACTTTCCAAGTTTTATAGGTCATTTGTAGATGCATTGGCTCAGCTCCTCTTGGAGACTACTATTGTTTATAAATTTTCGATTTGGGTTTCTTAGGGGGCATTAGGTTGTTCCCTGTCACTCCCTATTGCTCTCACTGTAGAGCTGTGGAGCTTTTGTAGATCCTGCTACTGTTAGTGATATAAACACGTCTAGCATTTTGAGAGAGTGGCCTGTAATCTGTTTTTTGTGTGCAGGTACTGTGGTCTTGCTTTTTATTGTAATACTTTCCGTTTTTGGGCTCTTTGTTTCTTTGGTTTGTTCTCCTCATTTCAAACCACAGCTTTGAAAGTCACCTTTATGTGTTTATGTTACATATTACAAACAGCGTTAATTCTGTTAGTGAGTATGGGGGCTGGTCTTCAGATGCAGTTGGGGTCACTCTGGTCTTTAGTGGGTTCCTTTCAGAGTGGAGTAGATATGGGATGTGTGTGTGTGTGTGTGTGTGTGTGTGTGTGTATGTGTGTGTCTGAGAGGGAGAATTTAAGATGTCTTGTGTAATATAAAACTAATGGTACGCATACTATTCTCTTTAAGGTATTTATGAGAAACAACTAGCTACTCAAGGAAACACTTTTTTTAACAAGGCATGGCTTTAAAGTACAACTTTATTTTATAATATAGTACATGGAAAAAGAACTGAAGTTATAAATTAGCATTTCAGTTAATAATACAAGGAAAATGCATCCAAGCCAGTAAATTAACATGACCTCTTCATAGGTCCTTTCCTCTCCCTGTCTCGCTGCTCTCAGGGGTCCTCCCAGCCAGCCCACAGTTTCTGGAGCCGGGAGTGGGGGAGTGGGGGAATGGGGGACTGGGGGCAATGGGGCTGGGTGGGGTGGCTTTCACCTGGCCTGGCTCCCTCAATGCCGGGGATGTGACACTGAGCTTCAGCTGTCTGTAGTTCCTCTGCCTCTGACAGCACTGCAGCGCGTGGTGTGAAGATGCTGCAGGTCGCACTCTGGCAGGTTCAGAGTGTTGCTGCTCTAGACTTCCTGGACCATCAGTCCCCATGCCGTCCACACAGCAGCGGAAGCACTGGGTCCTGTGGAGTGTGTGTCTGCCAGCTCTGGGGGGAAAGTGCAGTTAGCCAAGTTAGTTGTCTGCTCCCCACCGGCAGCTGGAGTGCTCCCAGTGGTAACCTGACCCTAACCCTGACCCTGACCCTAACCCTAACCCTAACCCAAGGGTCCCTGGCGCGCCCACACCCCTGTGCTTGGCTCTGTTTCTCATCTCCCTGACTGTCCGAGAGGCCAATTTTTGACCATTTGAATCTCCTTTTGCAGGAAGTCTTTTTCTTACTAGTTCATATGATTTTTGCTTTGTTTTTTTTACTAGTTTTCTGGTATGAGCTATTTTTTAGTTATATATGTAGTGGATATCTCTAACTCCTTACTTTCACTCAAATGAGTTTGACACCTAGATGTTTTGAAAGTAATTGCACGTATCAGTCATTTTTCTTTCCTGTTTCTGCTTTTGTTATGTTCTGTTTTAGAACTCTTTTGGTACTTCATGGTAAAAAAAAAAGGTCATCTTGTGTTTCTTCATAATTCCTGTGCTTTCACATTTCACTCCTCAATCCACTGCTCGTTGGAGTTAATTATGCTTGATGCAAGGTGGGTCAGCTTCTCTTTGGACTGTAGAGTTGAATTCAGGTAGCAAAGGTCACAGCACGTGGACCTCTTGTTGTCTTAGTCAGTACGTGGCTCTGACGATGCAGTGTTGAATGCATGAAATGATATCTCTGGACCTAGTTTTCTTCTCCAAGATGGACATAGAAGTATCCTGAGGAGTTCAATCTTAAGTTTCACTGAGTCGCAGTAATTTGTGTGTTTCCTCCTGTTTATCAGTGACATCTTTGGTTCAGTGTTTTACACTCACTCTGCCCATTGCAACAACAGCAAACGGAATTCATTACTCGTAGGGATTGAGCCCAAGGCCTCCCACTTAACGAGGCAAGCACCCTAGTCTCCAGCCCCTCCTGCTTTACAGGATGAAGAATTAAAGCACAGAATGCCTTAGTGACTTTTCCAAGGCAGCCTAGCTGATTGATAACACTGTTTTCAAACCAGAAAGGCTGAATCTTGAGCCAGTGCCCTGGAGTTCAGTCATCCTGCATGAAGATGCCATAGTGGGAGTGTCAGCATTGTAGACCCTCCTCGGTCATCTCCTCGGGAGCCATTGACAGCCCATCCCTGCCTGTTTCCCTCTTCACTACAGCCTGCAGCACTCAGTGGTAGATGCACTCAGGAGTGGATTTTGTTCTGGCCTTTTCTTGTCTCCTCAGCAATAGAAAACCCCTTGTCTAGATCCACAGGCACACGTGCCCTTCCCGCTGTGAGGTGCACTGTCCTGTCAGGCGTGCTCCCAGCCTCAGTGTTGCAGACAGAGTTTTACAGGACCACACCCTGTTCTTGGTACCATGCCCCACTGCAGTCCCCCTTGCCGTGATGTGTCGTCGTGCTAGTCCTCCCATGCAGTCCTGCACGTCTCCCGTCCGCACGTCGGGAGCACCACCTGTGCTACTTCGGCTCTGAGCATCGCATAGGCACTTCCATGGTGCCCAGAGACCCTTTGTGCATCTTACGTGAAGATGGAATTTGCTCTGTCTTCATTCCACAGAAAACACAGCACAGGCATTTTTCTTGTCAGTTTCTCACGGAGTTTCGGATGTCATCCTGGAAGACAGTGCAGCTCTCATGGTCATGTTAGGGTTCAGTACATTGACTCCTGGTGCTCTTCAATTGGGAATCACCTCTTGTGTAAAATTTATTTTTACTTTGACACTAGTGGCTAAGGTTAAATAAAATTTCTTGGACTTCCTGAAACTTTCATATTCTGTACTCTCTCGGGGGGAGATTTTGTATATTCTGTCTGTGAGTCAAATTCTGTTATGAGTTTTTTCCTGTTACCTCTTGCAGATTTATTTGCTCAGAGTGCTCTCCAGGTGGGCAAGGGCTTGACTTCTGTTGAATATCTCTGCTGGGCTGACCAGGCACCTTCCGTTGTGGTGGGTGTCACGTGGAGAGGCTGTCCCTGTGTTTCGCTTGTCCTGGGCTGACTTGGGCTTGCTCACCTGTGGTCTCAGATTTCAGGAGAGCTGCAGGCCAAGTCCAGGGTAATAAGCATCTGTATCACTTTTTTTTTTTTTTTTTAATTTAAAAGGAAAAAGAGAAAAAAATAGAACAAAGCAAAACAGTGTAAGGGTATATCACCAATTAATAGATTACACACTATCATCTTTGAAACAGTGATTCAGGTCACAGGATGAAAGCAAACAAAGTGAACATTCAGGGGCTGGGGATTTAGCTCAGCGGTGTAAGCACCTGCCTTGCAAGCAGGCGGTCGTGAGTTCGATCCCTGGTACCGATAAAAATGAAAAAGACAAAACAAAACAAAACAAAACAAAACAAAACAAAACAAAGTGAACATTCAAATAGTGAGACTGCAGATAGTTGTGTTCAATGATCCAACCAAAAATATTAATATGGTCATCTATTTAACACAGCTAAACACACTTCTTGTTGTATCCTTTTGGGCACTTTTTTTTTCCCCCTCTCTTTATTACAACAAAATTTACACATTTTGGGTTTTATTGCTCCCATAGATCTTACTACTTTTTTTGTAAGAGAATAAAATCAAACATGATAAAACAAAGCTATCAGTCAAAACCAAGGATAGACATAGCACATGAGGTAAAAACAGAGTACAAGGTTATCAACAACGGTTACCATAATGCCTCTTGCTTCCTTAAGAAGAATTGTCCATCTCATTAGGTATTATAAAGTTTAACAAAACAGTAGAGAATCACTTTTTGCTAAAGCATACGACACATTAACTCAGACTCGAGGCATCTCAAGCTGGGAAGAAAAAGCTGTTGCACTGGGCTCTTTATTCACTGCTGCCCGGCTCTCAGTCCACCCTTTTGTCTTAGTTCATTGGGCCTTTTATCTCTAATACAGTGCAGTGCACGTATTTTCAGTGTGTGGTTTGTAAGCGTGTACACCCTCTATTCACTACCCACAGCCAGGATATACGGTGTGTCCTTCCTCTCAGGTTCCCTCTCCCACTTCACATCCAGCCTCCACCGCCACCACAGCAGGCTGATTTGATTTTCATCACCCGGAATTAGTTTTGCCTGCACTAGAACTTCTATAAATGAGATCATAGGTTATGCACTCATTCTTTTGTGTCTGACTTTCTTTGTTTCTTAAGAGCTACCTCCATAGCATCTCATTTCATTTATCCTGTTACTTTGTCTGTCTATATTATATTCTAGAAATTGTGTGTAAAAGAAAATTTTAGCCCTTTGTACAGTATGGCCCAGTTCTACTATGGACGAATCATCGATCTCTAAATTTGATAAGCAAGTTTAGTTGTTTTTGTGGGGTTTTTTGTAAATTTTCTTATAGACTGAAAAAAGAGTACTCAAATATAACTGTAGGAAAAGAGAAATACAAAATTTGTGAATAATAGATGGAAAAGTGTAACTTCTAAAGCTTGACATTTTTATTATTAGGTAAATCTCTGGGATCTTACTGGGAACTGTGGGACTCATAGCTAGATATTTAAACCAGAAGGAAGTGCATAAGTGTTTGTTATTGGAGTTTTTCCAGATCTTTGTAAGTGAAAGAAAATAAGAGTCAGGAATTGTTTTCCTTTCTTTACACTTAATGAAACAGAGCAAGGCTGCTTCATGTGCTTCGACTGGCTCACTGATTTAGCACATTCGGAAGAGGCAGACACATCGGATTAACACTCATGAAAAGTTTAATGTGCACCTACTAACGGTTTTCTTCCAGATACATTTCTTTGGTGTACTGCTGAATTCATCTGTGCTGGTGGTAATCCAGGTATCTTCATGATTGCAGAGATGATTCTGTTACTGTTCTTTTGGGAAACAGAATTAAATCAGGATTTAAAGAAAAATACAATTCTGGCTTAATCAGTTAAATTGCCATACAGTTGTGGAAGAGACAAAATAATTGTTATGTCAGGCAGAATTTGAAGTGATAGACTCATTTTTCCAACTGTCCAACAAATAAGTTAGATTCATTTATTCTAGATTACAGCAATTGTTGTAGTGTTGATACATCTTCGGTGATTTTTTTAAAGTTAGCTATGTTTTAAAAGTAACACTTCCTTTATTTAGGACAAATTAAGAAATGCTGTGTATTAAAATTTGGGTTAGGACTTAGCTGTACAAAATGTTGATATTTTCTCTTTGCTATTTGGAACATTTACAATAAACGTTGCTGCATGGAGTCGGTGCTGTACCCTTCCTTCCCCAGTGCCTCAGAGAGCTTTGTCGCAATTAGTCCTTTAAGTATCTGATCGTTTACCTGAGAGGGCAGTGATAAAGACTTTCTGTTGCTCATAAATGGTAAATAGTTGGTAAATGAATTTATCAGCTGGGTAATAGGATAAGTGTGCCTCACTCCCTACAATTCACTTACCTAGAGAAATCTTTATTAAAAAAACAACCAGGTTTTAAATATGGTTCTGCTGTGGCCATGTTCTGTAATTATTACTTTTAAACATTTCATTCTTTTCATGGTGCCTGATGAAAGGCAAATGGATCTTGGCTTTTACAGACTTTTCTCTCTCCTTGGCACTTGCCTGAACAACATTCCCCCCCCCCCCCATTTGCTCTGTCAAATAAAGTGTCAGCCACAGAAGCTGATGTTGAGGAAATAGGGAAATTAAGCTGTAGCTGCAAGGTCAGAGGCCGGTCAGCACGCCTGAGGCCAGGCTTCTGCCCTAGGCCACTGTGTCTTTCCGAACAGGTCAAGAGAAGTTTGCCAGTTCATTTCATTACAGGAGAGAAGAGGCACTGCATAAATCAAGTACTGAGTACCCAAGACTGCGTTACTGTTTGGAAGAAATGATCAGCCACTTAGAATATGTTAATTGGACAGTACTGCATGTTTCTAATACCACATTTTAATTAGTACTTCAGTCAAGGGGAAGCAGGCAATAATCATGTAATAAACTTTTCTCCACTCAGAGAATGCTTATTTATCTGGTAATTATGCTGTGTTAAGTCAGACTGGTGATTGGTGGGGTTGTCCATCAGGTGAGAAACCCATTTTGAAATCAGCAGGGGCCCTTGGCAGTGTTGCCTCTATACTCAGCATGTACAGTAGATCACATTCCATATGCTCTGAGCCTAGTTGGTATTAGAAACAGATGGTACTCACCGCATTATTTTTATGTATGTATGTATGTATTTTTGATACCAGCAATTGAACTCAAGACCTTGTGCTTGCCAGGCAGGTACTTTGCTGCTGAGCTATATCCCCAGCCACTTAAAACGTTATTTTTTGTTTTCTTATACAATCCAGTCAGTTTAGTTTAATAAAGTCAATTGCAGCTGAATACACTACAAATGGATATTTTAAAGCATTTTATATCATTTTAATATTTAGTATAGAGCAAAACACAGCCATACCATTTAGCTAGTCAATGTAAGGTCAAAAATAAGACCTACTTTAATTTTCGAGAATATAATAAACAGTACTTTTATTCACCTTTGTTTGAAATTGTGGAAATCTGTACTGAGAAGGGACAAACATAACATAAACATATACTAAATTCCATTTTAAACAGAGTACTATTTTTTTCATCAGTGTTTTGGCATCTGAAAATAGACTAGCTTTAGAGTCAGAATATGATGTTATAAACTACTGTATTCCTTAAACATAGACTGGGGAAGAGATAAACCTGAAGAATGTATTTGACTTCATGCTAGTGTTAAAGTGGTTAACTTTCTTTAGCAGTATGAAGGTAATATTCTGATTTTTTTTTTAACCTGCCACTGGAACTGAGCCTAATTGAGCATTTTTAAAAATCAGTTTGCAGGTCGCAGTAAGAAGGAAACCAGATACTCTCTTAAGGCGGTCGAAGACATGTTGGAAACTTTGCAGATCACCCAGTCTTAAGGCTTCACCAGCTTTGGCATTGATGTCACAGGGGCGCAGTTGAACTTTTTGGCCTGTGACTTACTTACTAGATGCCCAGTGCTGTTTACACTCTAATTTCTGTGAAGATGACAATTGTAAAGAATGTGTTTATGTAGCCCTAAAATGCCTTTTACTGCTCAGCAAGAAGATGGCAATCTGAGGAGGACAATGTGAGGCTTACGGTTGTACACCAGTCGCTTCATGTCACAGAATGTCGTAACTGCTCTTCACTCAGCCCTGCGTAGGAATGGCCTTGTTAAATAAACCACTGACTTACTGAACTTGCGTACAGAGAGTTGAGCTTCTTTTTTGTTGTAACCAGTACCTTGCTTCTGAGCTCACTTTCCAGCTTCCTTCTGCCTGAGGGTAGCACATGCAGCACAGGTAACTTGCAGAAATAAATTATTTTGCCTTTGTTTATAGTGTTAGGGTGGGTTTTGCTGCATCCCAGTGGACCGTCACTCTGCCGTATTGTTCTCATAAATGTATTATTCTCCAAAGTTCAGCAGTCTAAGAAACTTAAGTTTTGGTGCAGAGATTTTTATCTATAAAAGACCTCAAGATTAATATGTACTGTAACAACCTTTCCACAAGTTATATTTGTTGAAATTTAATTGTAAATTACACAAAATTAAGAATAGTATGAGTAGTGTGTGAGTTCCTGTTTAGTTCTAGAAAAAGGAGAAAGTGTAAGCTATTTTTAGAAACAATTATTAGAATTCTCAACATCTTTTCACTTATTAGGTATAAATATAATTTCTTACTTTTTATAATTAAGTTATACTATCTTTGATATTTTTCATGTTTCAGTAAACTAAAAAGACTATGAAAGTTAAACACTTTACTTAGTAGGTAAATTTTTATAAAGGTACTTGTTGACACAGGACAGGTATTTACTGTTAATGTTACCTTTGAATCTAACCTGACTTGTTTATAATAACGATACATCGTGGCTTCTGCAGATCCATGTGGCTGGATTTGGGCGAGTAGGGATTGTGAAGAAATGGACAGCCTGGGGTCTTGAAGAAGACTATTATCAGCGTCAGGTTTGGTGTCTTTGAACCATTTAAACAGTTCTTAGCATTAGTGTAGCATCTCTCCGTGTCTAGTTTGCTGTTTCTTGTCTCATCCAGCTGCCAGGAGTGCCGAGCAGCTGGTGGGTACCTCCTGGGAATGGCCCTCCTGTGTGAGAGTGCCTCTTTCCCTCTGTGCACATGAAGCTGGCAGCCTTGCATTCAGCCCTGGCACCATTTCACACTGAGGCTTGCTGTGAGGTTGTCTGATACTGTGCCCTGTCCCCTGCCCATCCCATCTGACCTTACACTTCAGCTTCCATAGAGAGCTCCATTGCTGAAGGGAGTGTGTGCCTGACTGTTGGTACCTGATTCTTACTTGGAAATGACACCCTGGTTTTGTCCAGAGAGGGACAGATTGCCTTCCCTCAGAGAGACAGGAATGTTGCCTGTCTTGAATTGATGCAGACAGAAGTGGAGGTTCTACGTCTGGTCATTCATGAGTCAAAGCCACAGCTCTGCAGTGAGCGAAACTGCACGTGCGTGTCCCACGTGGTGACCGCTGTGCGTGTGCACTCCTAGTGCACCTGGCAGATTGCATTCTTAAACCCTGGGAGCCTGGACGAGTGTGACCTATCTGGGTTGTGATTCAGGCTTAGTGGCAACTTGACGCCTGCTGGGGAGGCACAGGCTTCATGCCGCCATAGCAAGCTGGCAAGGTGGCACCTTCACTGCCTCTGGCTGTGCCAACACGATGCCGCTGGTCCACAGCCGGGAGACCACAGGCGTACGAGGAGAGTTGTGTGTCAGAGGCAGAGCTGCCCCCACGGCAGAGCCCCCCTAGTGGGCTGTAGGGTATATTCTGTGTCTGCACCCCAGGCAAGAGGCAGGCAGAGCTGTGGGCTCTGTTCTGCATTTGTTCCAGTTTCTAACCTCATGTTTCTCTGAAGCATCTACTGCTTACTGTTTCTCTTAAGCAGGTAAAACTTGCATGTCAGGGATGCTCCTCCAGAGCGTGGTCCTCTGAGGCAAGCGCATAGTTATGCTAAGCACAAGAAGGGTCACTACAGTTCCTCCTCTAGCATTCTGACCTACAGGGATGCAAAAATCATAATTACATGGCTTTCATCGTAAGAGTATAATGTGTGGATTTAGGGGCGTCGGAAGAAATAGAAAAAAAGAAAGGAAAGACCGGTGTCTCAGGGTACTAAGTGTGTGACTCAGCTTTTTCTTGGCAGGTATTTCGGAGAATCCTTGGAGACCACAGCAGCTCCCTACATGCCCCAAGGTTTGGGGGTGGGGGGTTGCCAGGTGGCTCCCCGTTGGAGGAGCTGAGGCCTGAGGTGGGCAGGATTGGGACCAGGCAGGGCCCTTATGCTGTGGGGTTTTGGGAGGTGACAGCCAGTGAAAGCTGAGTACTCCGAAGGGTTGTAGTTTGTGGGAGGGTAGGGATTAGAATGTGCTCATTTGGAAAACAGTTTTTAAGTAGTAGTCAAAAAATTTAATTTGAATTGAATTTAAATTAGCTTAAAATGTCAATATGAGAACTCTTTCATAATTCCTAAGACTGCTTTCAGGCTCTTTCACTTCCAGACATCAGAAGTGCTGTCTCCCTTCTCACTCGAGTGGTGACCTTGTGTTGGGGGCTGAACCTCCCTGAAGATGTTGTGTTCATTCATTCCTCCCACAAACCTTCGTCATCTTTTTCCTGTTATTGATACAGAGAATTGAATCTAGGACCTTTGCTCTGATCTGTAGCCTCAGCCCCCCAACTAATTTTGAGACAAGGTCTTGCTAAGTCATGAAGTTGTCCAGGCTGAACTCGATGATCGTCCTGCCTCAGCCTCCCAGATTGGTGGGATTATAAGCAGGCATCACTGTATCCAGGTTGAACAAAGCTGTTTTTTGATTCATTCCACAGTGCTGTGATCAGGCCCTTCTGCCATAAACTCCTCTTTCCTTTTATTTTTTTTTTCATGTTTAATTTTGGAATACTTTTTAAGATTTTATAAGAATCTGCAAATATAGATTATGGAAATTCTTCCTGTTATGTAGCTTCGCCTTGTTATATCTAATCACAGAACTTTGTCAAGCCAGGAAATTGACATTGCAGCCATACTGTCAGTGCAGACACAGCCCTTCTCAGATTTTATACCTCAGCATGCTTTTTTCCCATTGGAGAAGTGCTCTCAGGTAGTCATGTTTTTTTTTTTTAAATCAGTACCGGGAATCGAGCTCAGGACTGTGATTTAGCTGCTGAGCTAAATCTCCAGCCCCAGGTAGTCAGTTACCATCATCACAATCAGGAAGTAAAATTTTACATGACTACAGATAAGTTCCCTTGTGGTGTATCTTGTTATACCCTCACTGAACCCTAATGTTCAGCATTCACAGAGTCACATGGCTATAATTTGTGACTAGTAATATTATGTAAATGTAATTATAAAATTTGTGAACCTTTGAGACTTATTCACTCATGTTCTCTATTGTTTATGTCAGCAGTTTGTTCCTTTTTATTGCTAATTAACATTCTGTTTTATAAATGTTCTGTAATTTGTTCTCTTCACTGTGTAAGGACATTTTGAGTTATTTTCAAATTTTGTTTGTTGCAAATAAAGGCCTTTACAAACACTTGTGAAAGTTCTATGGATATGAGGTTTTTATTTTTCTACAATAAATGCCTGGAATGTGTTTGCTGGATTGTGTGATAAATGCACAAGTAATTTCATTGGAAGCTGCCAGACATTTAAAGTGTATGTAGATGACACCAGTTTTACATGATCTCTTCCTGAAAATCCAAGGATAGGGAACACTTTCCAAGTCATTAAATGAAGCTATCAAAATAAGAAGCCCAGAGAAGAGAACTAGAGACCAGTGCTTTCATGAACAGAGACACAAAATACTTAGTGATATGTGGAGCAGGTAGTGTGCCAGACCACACAGGGTCTGTTCCAGAAGTGCACGGCTCAGTCGACACTTGAAAATCCGTGCATCCCATCATATTTAGAATAAAAAGATACCATACAGAAAAGATACTTGACAAAACACCAGTTTGCTGCCATTTAGGATAAAAAAAAAAAAAAAAGAATCTTCCTGAACTCCAAACTTGATGAGTGTCACCTCCATAACTCAGGGGTGAAGTCCAGAATGTGTTCCGTACTGGGGGCGGGGTGGGGCGTGACTCACTGCTGTGTTCATCACGCTCTTCCCATGTAACCAGTACTGGGGCGTAAGAAAGAAAAAAAAATGAATACGCACTGGACAAGGAGAAATAAAACGGCCCCTATTTGTAGATAACATGATTGCCTACATACAAGGTTCCAAGACGGCTCCCAAGAGCTTACTGAAATTATTCATGGGTTTAGTAGGATCATAGCATACAGGGTAAACAAAAATTGTATTTGTTTCTACATTTTATAATCACTTAAATGTAATATTGTAACAATCCTGTTTAACAAAATGATCTATTTGCTAAGAGCTACAAATGCTAATAAAAGAAAGAAAAATAGCGGAATGTGACACACGTACTGCCTGGAAGACTCAGCGCGCAGTGAATGAGTGCTCCCAAGCTGGTGCTCAGACGGCTTGGCTCTGGTAGTGCCGTCTGCATGGCGTTTGTAGTGTTCTTTGTGTTACGCCCTCTTCTGCTTGCATCCCCCACCTTTTCCCTTCAATTCTGCAACCCAACTGAGCTTTTGCATGGACTTTTTCTGTTTATAATTTAAAAATTTGTACATGTGTAAAATTATTATTTCTCAGAAGTTAGGCTTATTTTGATATTAATTGCCTAGATTTTTAAAAGGAGGGAGGAACAAAAAAGTCCTATCTTTAAAAGAGAAATTGTGGGCCCAGGGTTTAGCTGAGCAGCATAAGCACCTGCCTTGCAAGCGTGTGGTTGTGAGTTCAATCCCCAGTAGCAAAAAATAATAGAAATTTTATTTATTACACACATATAAGGTTATATATATGTGTGTGTGTGTGTATACACATATATACACATATATGTATAACTCCATGCAAAAAATTCATGCGTATTTGTGTTTTGTACACCCTACTGTAATAATCACAAAAGGGCATAGAAATACAAACCATATTACAGTGACCATAGCAAGAATAATAAGACTTTCCATTGATTGTTAATATAAAAACAATAATTAGATTTGGATGCTCAAAAATTACATTAAAAATAACAATTTTGAGTCACAAATGAATAAATTCTAATAAATTACATACCTAATAATATAACTTTGTAAGAATATAGTTTATTT